CCCCTGGCAGAGAAGTTTATTAGGCAATCATTGCCTAATGTTTACCTTTTGTTTGTATTCTTAATATACATCTGTTTGTGCCAAAATGCAAGTTGTGTTTTATCTGTGTAAGGGAGGCTTAGTTGGGGAATTGGGGTAAGATTGGCCCATCACATCTCTTAAACAAGCATGGTGACCTATGTAGTCACCAAAAGCCGACTTCTGTTTGATTTGACAATCACTTGAAGTGTGCTTTTCTTGTTATCTCAAATGGGTGGTAACTACTTCAAAACTTAGTAAAACCTCTAACATATTTGCATCTGTAAAACATCAATAAAACATGAATACTTACCACATTCCGTTGAAAGGGTTCTTTAGGAGAGTTAATCCAGACATCGACATGCCTGAGTGAGATGAAAATAATCAAAGGCCACATTACGATAAGATTTCAAAGATTACTTAATGGTAAGGGAAAATTGAAATAATTCTCAATATTCTGGATGAGTCTGTTTCTTCTTTACCATTTACTAGAGTTCCAATGATTCACAAAATGCAGATATGAAGACAACAGAAAGTGTACCATATAACCCCATACATTAATTATGCATTCCACTTCGTTGTCTTTCACGACAAAACTTTAAAAACAAAGTCTACTAATCTGAATGCATAATTAATGTATGGGGTTATATGGTACTCTTGCCCTAAAGTCTCTTAAATAATATAAAAAGTCTCATTCTTTCAGAACACTGCTTGAAGCCTGAACAATGAAAAGGTCTTCCCGCTTTTTGCTCAGACATTTCTCACCTAAGTTGTAAAAGTCGGCAATCTCTATAACGACCTGAACCCAAAATGGCGGGGTCACGCTATTTATCAGAGCAGCAGTAGCCGTCATCATGCAATCCAACCGGCTGTGATTTGAAATACATTCTAGGAGACATTCCAATTGATTCCAAATAGCACAACTACTAAGCAAGATATCTCTCCTCCTATGCAACGTGTCCACGAAACGATCAAACTTCAGCTTAATTACCTTCGATAAGCAGTCAGATCACAGTCTGACAGCATAAGCTGCCCAAAACACAAAAGTTGCAACTGCTCAAGAATCTTCGCTCAACGCCCGGCTGACTGGCTAGCCACAGAATGATAGACACTCCACATTGAGATTCTAAATCACCCCATAATTAAGACATACATAGAAGAAAAATTAACTTGAGTTAATATTTACGCTTTTGTGTGTGCATCTTTTGAAGGGCGGAAGTACGCTACACTCCCAAGAAATTCCTACCCAGAGTTCCCACAGGATTTTTATACTTCCAAATATGGGGTCAACTAATGTGATCTAACAAACCATTCTAAAGACTGGACTATGAGGCAAATGGATTGTGGAACTCCTAGAGCCAGTTAAAGATACTTTTTGATTTAAAAATCTTCCGTTAATTCTCAAATATAAATAAAGAAAGATGATTAAAAATTGTGCAACAAATTTTGAATAGATACTTTTTACTTGCTGCTGAGTACCAAAGAAGTTCTCGATTGTTTTCCCCCCCGGGGGGGGGCACCTGAAACAGACGGCGGGGATGCTCGTCAGAAATTTTAAATTTAACCCCTAAAAGAGACCATCTGGGCGTGGCTTAAGCAAATTTTGACCGCTAAAAGAGACCGCTCATGTTCATGCATTGTCTCTTTGGCACTTGGTAAAATAGAAAACTAGTTAATGTTGAGGTAATACGGTAAAGAAAACAAGTTAAAAAGAAAATTTTACTTCTGTTTCTCTTTGCGTAGTT